TCAGCTTGATCATTTTATTCAGAAAGTGAGCTCTTACAAGGGTTCATTTCATTTTGCAATTCCAAGCCAGATCTCTTTGATTATGTGTGGGAAGCATACAAAATTTTCCGCTGAGATGATTTTTGAATTAGCTGAGAACTTAGCAGTTTCATAATTTTCGAATTGTAGATTTTCACCTCCCCTTTTGGTCTCATATGTCCATTGCTGGGTCTCTTTAAATCTGAAATTTGCCATAGGCTGAGTCCTCAAAGAAAGATATATACCCTTGACATTTAAAAAAAAATTAATAGAAAAGCACTAAATCCCTTCAAATACTACACTGGAATGGAGTTATAGCTCTTTCTTCATGCCCAGTGAGAATTTAATCATAGCAAAATCTTAATGTTTAATATTGAAATCTTTATCCAAGAGACCCAAAAAGTGTTTTTTGCAAGGAGCAGCTTGGCATTTCCCAAACCTGCTGACATAGTTCCCTGACTCTAATTTGAGGCTGTGACAACTGGAAAGGTGACCCAGTGACCCTGACTTTTGTCTAAACCCAAAGTTTGGGGCCCCAGAGGTCAGAGCCCCAAGGACGAAACGCATGGGCTTGGGCAGGGGGCACTGCTCTGGGAATTCTTCAAGGGCTGGTTCCCATTGCCTCCAGGATTCTCAGGAGCCCCAGAGCCTCTGATTGGCCCAGAGATCTCATTTACGGGGCGGGGGACACCGGGTGTTTAGGGAATACTCTTGATTGAGGGCTCTGCAGACCAGTGTGAATAGCATACCAGAGGGTCAGAGGGTCAGAGGGTCAGAGGGTCAGAGGGCCAAGTCCAGACCCAGGAGAAAGTCCCTCTTTTTTCCCATCCATGTAGTTATCGAGGGTTTGCAGGCCTTTGGGACACCTAGATTTCTGTTGGTACCTGTATTAGAGAGCCTTGTCGTGTAACAACTCGGAAACCTAGTTACTTAAAATAGTCATTATTTATTGGCCTTTGATTCTGTGGGTTGGCAATTTCGGCCGGGCTCAGCTGGGTGGTTCTACTGGGCTCTCCTGGGCTCACTCTCGTGTCTCTGCTGGGGCTGGATGGTTTAGGATGGCTGGGTGCACGTTTCTGGCAGATGAAGGCCGTTAACTGGAATGCCTCGGTTCTCTTCCATGAGCCCCCTTTGGAGGTTGGCTTGAGCTCGTTTCCATGGTCACAGGGTTCCAAGTGCCACAAGAGAGCATAAGCTCCAATGAGCCAGTGCTTTTCAAACCTTGGCATGTATCCCTTTTGCTAATGTCCCATTGGCCAAGGCAGATCATATGGCCAAGCTCAGACTTAGGAGCAGGGAATAGACTCCTCTTGATGAAGGAGTGACAAAGTCCCATGCAAAAGGGCATGGGTGCAGATAGGGGGAATTTGTGGCGTTTTGCAGCCTACCACAGAGCCCCACGTAGACCTCCTTCACAGGGATTATGTACCCATTCTCCAAATGCTGTGAGCGTGGGCTGCTAACAGCTCACAGCGGCCTTCTCCGGAGAAAGGCTCCAGCGGATGGGAGCCACACACCCCAGCTTATATTCTTTGTCTCTGCCTGGGGTGGGTGGCGCTCATAGCCCGTGGCTGACTGGTTCGAAGGCAGAAAATGGCTGGCCCCCCTTCCTTCAAGGCAGGGGCAGCTGTGGTGTGATTTGTGGTTCTGAGCCCATTGGGCACCAGTGAGAGCTAGAGTTCACTTGGGCCCCCACTCCCTTGCTCAGCTCTTTCCCCTTCCCTGCCCCCAAACCTCCCTCCCTCCCCGGCAGATTTTACTGGAAACCCACTCTCGAAGCCTCCAGCTGACTGGCCGCCCTGAGGCTGCCATGTTGTAAGAAGCCCAAACCGGCCCACGTGGAGAGATGCTCAGCCCCATGCTGTTCAAACGTGAGCACCGTCTGACTCACCTGGAGGAGAGACTAGACTGCCCATCTAGGCTTTTCCCGGCTTCCTGACCCACAGAAGCCTCGAGAGATAACAAATTTGTTGGGCAGTAACTGTGACTATACACGGATCTTAGACAATGTCCATCTCCCTGTCATGGCGGGGGACACAAACCGGGAGGGGCTTCCCGTCCAGAATTGCTGGTCCTTGTTCTCACCCTGTGCACAGGTTAACTCCGTGCGTGCAAGCTCACGCATGTGCGTGTGTGTGTCTGCCCTGTTAGTCCCAACTCTCTTTCCATTCCTGGAGCCTCTCAAGATGCCTGGCCCACGGCGGAATCCATGAATGTTAGCGAAAGGTCCTATATACTGGGACCCTCATGTCTGTAGCCAGACAGATCTTCGTTGTTCTCCAGCAAGCCGTCCTGCCCCTCTAACCTCCCTTCCACTAGAGAATCCAGGAAAGAAACTTCCAGAACAGTGGGTGCCTTTGTGGTTGCCCAGGAGGAGGGTCGGTGGCCGCAGGTTAAAAGTCTTTCTTCTCCGTTGGAAACCTTGGAAGCGTGCCCATTTCCAAAGGAACCAAACTTTGCCTGGGCTTCCTCTCAGGCCATGGTCACCGTCTCCGGCCTTTTGATGCAAGCCCCCAGTCTTGGAAGTGTGGCTCTGTGAGGTGAGCTGGAGTTTTCGAGGACCAGAGAGCCGGGAGAAGTTAGGAAAGAGGTGGTTCCTGGAGGCAGAGGGCTGGGATTTAGATGTAGTTTAGAGGTGTTGGCATTGACTCCCAGCCCACAAAGGCTGCCCACTTTTCAGGCTTTGCTTCACAGCCGGGTCTACAGGTCGAGTAGTGGGGAGAGCGAGGACTTTGTCCCCAGGAGACTGGGCATGGTGATGGGGACTGGCGGGTGAGAGTGGGGGGTGACGGAGGGATACTGGGTGGCAAGGAGTGGCTTGGGTGAAATCACGGCGTTTTGGAAAGGATCCAAACTTTGATGGGTAGAACTAAAAGATGCTCAGCTAAAAGTTGCCTAATTACAAAAGGTGTCAGGAGCGTGTTTAGGCTGTCTTGTTTTTCTGGGCAATGGGAGAGATTCTACCGCATTATTAGGTTCAGGTCTTTTGATGCCCCAGTGGTAGCCAGACCCTGGTCCGGGGGCAAAAACCACCGAAAAATGATTTCAGCAAGTTCGTGGCTGCCCTCCTCACGCCCGTCCCAGGAAGGCCTGCAGCTCCAGCAGAGGGAGGGCAGGAGGAAGGAGAAATCGCGCCCACCACCACCCCCTTGGGACTTAAAAGCAGAGCACACTCGGAGTGGATCCCATTCCTCGACTGTCCAGCGGACATTGTGAGTGTAGGAAGGAGGGACTGTTTCAAAGATACACAGGTGGATGTTATTTTTGACTGATTCTGGGGCAAAATCAACTTTATTTATCCTTACAAACGGAATCAAGGCTCTAGACAAGCTGGGCAACTTCTCCCTGATCCTTTTCTAAACTTTTTTTTCTTTTTGGAATCAAGACACCTCCCTCCCCTCCAACAGAATGGAAGCGTGGAAGGATTGTCCCAGTCCCACCGCGTGGTCCCCCAGGCAGCTTCAGACAGGCCCCAGCCTATTCAAATTGTTTCCCCACAGAGGACAGAGTCCGAGGGAGGCCCAGGGCCAGGGGGTGGCCTGGAAGCCTCTCCGAAGAGCCTTGTTCCAGGGCCGACAGCTCAGTTTCTGCATTTGGAGTTGCAGAATGAAGTGCCCGTATGAAAAGCAAAATCCCCAAACCAAAGTTAGAGTGTCCGACTTCGGTTCCTTTACCATCTGTGGGGAAATTTTTTAGTTTGCCTCACACTCAAAAAGAAACAGCAAGGGAGGAAAGGCCATTTCCTGTGTCAGCCACCCCGGGGGCGTCCTGAGTGCTTGAATGGCCACCCGGGCAGGGCCTCCCCTCCACCGGGCCATCCTGGGCCACGTCCCGGGGATGGCAGGGATGGGGTACGAGAGCCCTGCCCAGCTGACTCTCCAGGCCCCCAGAAGAGGGGAAGGGTGCCACCTGGGAGGCACAGGAATGCACCAAGACACCTGGGCGTGGGCCACAGGGTCCGTAGAGGCCCGGGTGGATGTCCACTCCAGTCCTCGGTCCCTTTAATCATGTCCTCGAGGCTTGTTAGGCCAGTTCTGTGTCCCCTGGCTTTAGGAAGTACAATACAGCTGGTGTTTAGCAAACTCTAGTTAGGCTGATGAACCAGGGCTATTTACGTGGCCTGCTGATTACAGAGCAGTGATTAGGTACTTAGAGAAGCTCTGAGACTGTCATTTCAGGTGTCAGCCCTGTGAGATCCTCCTGTGGAATGAGCTTATTTGTGTCCATGTGAAAAAATAGTAGAGGGAAATTCAAACGTGGTAGTTATGAAAAATCATCTACATTGCAAATCACTCACGGAAATTCACATTGATTTGCTAGAGGTGTAATGAGAACATGAATTTGTGAATCTGCTGTTTTTTAATGCTCACTACCTGGGACAGCGAACAGGAGTGATCTGGCAATTACGGGGCTAATTAGATCCCTTCTGGCCTCCAGACTGGAACCTGCACACCCCAGCTGCCCTCCCCGAGAACCGTTTCATAGACTCAGCTCCACAAAAGCCCAGGCACCCCGGATTCCTTCCTACCAGCTCGCCCAACATTGGCCTTAGCTTACCCTGGAGGCCTTAAAATGCCCCAGGGTGTGGGAATCCTAGTTGTAGTTGACTTTATGAATCCCAGCTCCCAGGCTTCAGGTGCACAGCAAGACACAAGTCCCTTACACTGCCCCAAACGCGAACTGGCCAGAAAGAACCAAGTCAGAGCTGGTGAGGGTGGTGAGCCCCTGGGAAGTGAAGTCTGTGGTGTTCTAGAGCAGATTCTTGATCGGCCTCGGGCAGGCAGATGCCAGACCTTGGGGTTTTTCTGTTTCCATGCAGAAGTGGACACAGTGGCGAGGTCAAGGGGTGGGCCAAGACACCCAGCCTTCCACAGCTCCCCAGATCTGCCTCCAACCACATCTTAAATAAGGGAATCATGGTGTTATGGCAATAAGGATTCCAGATAGGTCCTTTGGACTCTCCTCCTGACAGATGATGACATCATAAACCTTGTGGACATTCTGGAGCTGCCACTGGCTCTGAGCCCAGGCCCGGACCAGAGTCGTCTGTGGGGAGCCGTTCGTGGATGAAGTGTGACAGGGTGAAACTGGAGGTACATGAAGCGGACAGGAAAGATGTGGCTTGGGGCAGATGGTTTGCTGGTTCGTTCATTCATTCATTCATTCACTTAGCCAAATATTTTTTTAATTTTTTTGTAATGTTTATTCATTTTTGAGAGACAGAAAGAACAGAGTGTGAGCGGGGGGGGGGGGGGGGGGGGAGAGAGAGGGAGACACAGAATCCAAAGCA